ACCCCTCCCCATGTCCCAGGCAAGAGGACCCTGAGGGCACCCCATTTCCCCCGGAGAGGAACAGACCTACCAGGGCTACGTGAAACACAGCCCTACATCCTGCAGTGATGGCCTGCCTGTGTTTCTGCTCATTGCCCAGCTCCAAGTGGGACGAGTCATTACTAGGCCCCTGTGGTGGTACCTGCATGAAGCCAGACCCCATAGCCAGTGCCCGCTGTGGGATACAGCCCCAGGGGCTCCCCACCTGCCCCCCCAGGCCTGGCATGGGCTGGTATGGAGTGCTAACACCCATCTGGGGATGTGTGTCCCTCCAGGCGTGCAGTATGGACAGCTGGGGACCGACGTGACCCTGTCATGCCCTGGTGTCCGTGCCAGGTAAGACTTTCCCGTGCACATCACGGGATCTATCCAATGGGATGGTTGATAGGGCAGGCCTGTCCTCTCACAAAGCCTGCCTGGTGTCTCCTCCTCAGCTCACCCGTGCGATGGAGGCGAGCAGGGGCCATGGCACTGCCAGAGGGCTCAGCCATCCAGCAGGGATCCCTGGTGCTGCCGAGCGCCAGCCTGGCCTCTGCGGGAACATACAGCTGCCATGGCGAGGACGGCGGCCTCCTGCACAGCGTGTCCCTGCGGCTGGGCCGTGAGTAGCATGCCTGTGAGCTGGGCTGTCCTAGGGGGAGTGGGGGGCCTGCAGCCCTGCCAGGGGATTGCCAAAAGGGGGCTTGGTGTTGACACAGGCATCCCTGTGTGCTGGATGGGCTCTGGGATGGGGGACTCCTCGCTGACTGCTGTTTCCCCCGGACCCCAGACCTGCCTGGAGTTCCCTTTGTGTCCTGCAGAGCATCTGACTATGAGAATTTCTCTTGCTCCTGGACCTCCAGTGTGGAGACCTTCCTTCCCACCAGATACATCACCACATACAGGTGAGGTATCCCCATAGGGCATGGAATGAGCTTGTTATGGTGTGAGCTCTGGGTCACAGCCAAGGATAACCATCAAATCCATCTGGCCATCCCACACATGTCCTGGGTTCACCTCCTGCCCCAAGGACCGTGCTGCACCCCAGAGCAGGTCCTGTTTTGGGGTGAGCAGAGCACCAAGCCTTTGCTTGCTCTCAGTGGGGGTCTCAGCAGCACTGGGGGGCTGTCAGCTCCCTGCTGACAGCTCTGCCAGCACCAGAGGGGCAATAATAGAGAAGCAGGTCATCTGCAAGTCTCCACACCCCAGCATGCTTTGGGATGAAAGGAGCCCTGACAGCATTGCTGCTTCTAATTATCCCTGCAAGCCAAATTAGCAGGCAGCTTTGAAGTCAAATAGAGCTCATAAAGCACAGCCCTGCTGAAAGCTGCAGGAGCCGAGGGCTTGGTGGGGAGGGGGCTGAGTGGAGCATCGGGGGCTCCACAGGGAGGGGGAGTGGAAGCATGGGATTTGGCAGACTTTAGGGGGGAGGGTGAAGCCAGGCTCTGGGGAGCTGCTTTTATCAGTGTTTTTTATTCTGTGTGATGAAATCCCAGGCAGGGAAGGGTATCCCATTTCTTTTCCCTGGGATTGCCAGCTCCTGCTGCCAGGCTGTTCACTAGAAGAGCTGGACATGGTTTTAGCTCTTTCCCCCATGCTGTCACATGTGTATGTCAGCGTGGGAGTGTGGGGCTGCTTTGCAGTGCGGCTCCTGTCCCTCCTCTGGGTCATGGTGGGGTTCACTTTCTACTGCCCCCTCATCCTAATCATCTGCTTTTCCATCTGTCTCCATGGCAGGAAGAAATCCCTGACAGGCGAAGAAAAGCGGAGGTAGGACTGACTCCCACCCTGATCCTGCTCCCTAGGGACTGGCCCCCATCCCAAAGGCTCTGCTGCTGTCTTCAGCAGGGACCCCAGAGCAAGAGCTGGGGGTCCCCATCAGGGGGCCAGCTACTTCCCAGCTACCCTGGGAGTCTGGGAGAAGAGTTTTTGCCTCAGGGATCTTCCCAGGCAGAGTGTGGAGCTGGGATGGGAGTCCCTTCTGTCATGCTCAGAGGGATATGCCAGACTCTGGAAGGATGAGTGCAGCTGAGCCTGAGGGGCTGCCTCTTCCACCTGGGTCTTGGCATGAGGGTCTTCCATGGCACCTCCTTGGCAGCATTTGGAAACTGCATGGTGGGTGGGTAGGACATGTCACCAGCCTGCCTCCCTGTCTGCAGGAACAAGAACGGGCACGTGGGGCTGTGCCTGCAGGATCCATCCCGCCCCGGCACCTGCACCGTCCACAGGTCAGAGTTCTGGAGCTCCTACCGCCTGAACATCACCGAGGTGAACCCCCTGGGCTTCAGCTACCGCCTTCTTGATGTCACCATGCAGGCCATCAGTGAGTCCCCTGCCATCCACCCATCTGTCTGTCAGTGGTTTGTCCATCCCTGGGCAGTTACCTGTGGGTGACAGGGGGGCACCCTACACCCCCGAGCACAGCAGTGTGGGGTGACAAGGGCTTCCTGTCCTTTCCCACAGTTAAGCCAGACCCTCCAGAGGGCTTGGTGGTGGAGCCCGTCCCCCTGGCCCCCAGGCGACTCCATGTGAGCTGGAAGTACCCTTCCTCCTGGCCAAAGGAGCCCCACTTCCAGCTAAGGTTCCGGCTCCAGTACCGACCCATCATCCACCGTTCCTGGTCCGTGGTAAGTGTGCAAGGAGAGGCAGGGCCAGCACAGGAGCAGGGTGTGCATTGGGCCAGGGAGAGGTGCCCCTGCCTGCCCCACAGCTCACCTCCTCTCTGCCTGGCACAGGTAGAGACAGTGAACCTGTCTGAGGTTATCACGGATGCCTTCGCTGGGCTGGAGCACGTGGTCCAAGTCAGTGCCAAGGATTTCCTGGATGCGGGGAATTGGAGTGAGTGGAGTGCTGAGGCCCGGGCAACACCAGTCAGAGGTGAGAGAGGGACAGGCTGCAGCCCTGAACAGCCTATCACATTGTGTCATCCCTCCCCAAAGTCCCTCCAGAACTCTGAACTTCCCCTCTTCAGTCCCTTCCCCATGGCACTCATTCCCCCAAATATCAACCAGAGTCTCAACTCCAGCGCCACTTAAGGTTGGGAGGCAGAGCTGCACTAGGACAAAACTCCCCAGATCTCCCAGCCCTTGTCAGTCTGCAGCTGTGCTGATGCCCTTTGGGGATTGCCCCCCACAGGTTTGGGACAGAGAGGGGCTTCCAAAGCAGCATTAGCACCTCAATGGCACCCTTGGGCTCGTGGGACCTCTGGGGCACAAAGATACCCTTCCACACTCCTTTCTGTGGGTCCCTGGGGTTTTGCATATGCTTTTGGTGAGTGTTTCTGTCCCTTCTGTCCTTCCAGACCTGGCCTCCACAGCAAGTGAAGAAACCACTACAGATGCCAGACTGGAGAGCCTGGCTGAGGAGCCCTCCCAGGCTCCCAACCCTGAGCCCATCAGTGAGTAGAGCTAGGGTGGCGGGCAGGAGGGCCATGTGTGTTGCTGAGAGCAATGGGAAGGGTCTCTTGCCCCAAGCCCATGTGTGGCTGGGCTGTTGGAGTGTCCAGGAGCTTGCCATAGGCTCCTCTGGGTGCTGGGGACTGTGACATCCCTCAGCTGTGACACTTTCTCTGTCCCAGATCGCAGTGACCCCTTGGAGAAGATGGCCATCCTGGTGTCGCTTGGGATCTTTGCCTTCTTCATCCTGGCTGCTGTTCTTGTCATCACCATCCTCATCTGGTAGGCTGGGTTTGGAGAAGGAGGGGCTTTATGATTGCTGTCCCCATCCTATCCTGAACTCTCAGCATGGAGTGCCCTGTGATCCCCCAGCCCTGCGCTGGGGTCCCTGCCAAAACACACTTGATGCCCTGTGGGGTGGTTTATGCTCCCCTTGCCCCTGTGCCACACCACTGCCTCTTCCCAGCACACCCATTACTGCCTGGGCTCTTTCTAACGACCCCAGATCCAAGAGACCCTTCTCTGAATCCCCTCAAGATGCTGCTCCTTCTAATATCCTCCCAGAGGCTCCTGCTGGAGAGTCTCACACTCCAGAGTCAGCACAGACATCCCTCCATGTGCCTTCGCTCCCTGGGAATCCTGTCCCCACGTCCCCTCTGATTCCCCCACCATGGGATCTCCCTGCCACGCTCTGGCTCTGCTGTCAGTCCCTGTTCCCATCCCAGTCCTGTTCCATCTGGTGACCAGTTCCTGCTGTAGCCCTGGAGCTGACCCACTGGAGAGGTTAAGCTGAGCTGGGCACAGTTAGGCACAGCTGGATGGAAACACAGCAGGATCACTGGAAATCTGGGCAATCCTGATGCTCAGGGAGGCTGCTTGGGGTCTCTCATCCCCAGGCTCCGGATGAGGAAACATGGCAAGGACAAGACCAAACCCAGCTTTTTGGTTGCTGCCACGCACTTGAAGGCACTACCAAGTGAGTCAGGTTGCAGGGTGGGGAATGGGGGGCAATGTGGGGCGGGGAATGCGGAGCATGGGGCAGGTCAGTGTCTCCAGTGTCCCCCTTGACCTCCTGTCCTCTCTCTCAGCAGAAGCTCAGATCCTGTAGCGAGCCCTGGCCGATCCCTGCTCCCTGCACCCGCTTGCCCACGCGTGGGACTTGATGCCACTGCTGGCCCCCAAGGACCCCACGCCTCCCGGGTCACCCCACAGCTGTGGACATTGCCAGAGCCCCCAACACCCTGGGGTTGCAGGATGGATCCTAAGGAGAGAGGCTCTGCTCTCAGGAGCGTTGGACTGCCTGAGCCCACCAGGAGCCAGCTGGAGTCACTTCAGGCTCAGGGTGACAGGCCAGCTCCACCTCTGAGCGCTGCTAAACAAATGGGGATAAGACACTGAGCCAGCCCCACTTCACTGCCTAGTGTTGAGGGGGACCATGGGTGTAGGCTCCCGGGGGTGCTGGGCATCAGTGCCAGACCAAGGGGTGCTGATCCCTGCCTGTCACCCCCCCACCAGCTGCCAGCAGGCAGAAGAGAACACCCCCTGCCCCTCCCCTCTGCCCCAATCCCCCGTGCTGTGGCTGGACGAAGCAGAGATGCCAATAAAGGGGATATGCCAATGCTATCATTGGCACTGTCCAGGCAAAACCCCTTTGCAGGAAGTTCACGGACAGCAAGGCTGCCTCCCAAACTTCAGCCCTCTCCCCAGGTGCATGGAGGGGCTGAGAGAGACCCAAGGCTAAGTGCCAGAAGAGCATGCAGACAGGCAGCTGTGTGGGACTTCTCCCCTGCCCTCACCAGCATGACAGCTGAGACAGGACCCTCTGCACAGCCCCCCTTGCTCTGCATGTGGCCCCCTTGCTGCACCTCGACCCGGCCCCTCTAATGGCTTCCATGTGTTGGCACCTCCAGAGCCCGGTGCTCAGTGCCAGCAGCCCAACGAGATCCAGATGGAGCTGGGTGGAAATTCAGACAGAGGCAACGCGTGGAGCACAGGCAGCAGAGCTAGTGCAGGGTGGGGACCCACCTGGGCCCTGAGGCTGCCCGTGGACCCACAATGCCTGGACTGGGGCAACCACAAAGGCTCCTTGTGTGGACTGGGTTGGAGGGAGCTGGGGCAGGCTGTTGCCTTTTGCAATGTGTTGTGTGCCCACAGGCTCTGCTGCTCTCACTGGGTGCCCTGGTTGGGGGTCATGAGGGCTCTCCATGCTTGGCTCTGTGGGGTTGCAGCCCCTCACTGTCCCAACACACTGAGTGAGAGACATGGGGGTCAGCCCTCCATCTGCAGCGTGCTGCTGGCATGGCACCATCCCTGGACCAGAGCAGAGCTCTCCACAGGGCAGGTAAGGCAGGTCACCAAGCTGGGGAGGTGTAAGGAGCCAGATCTTGCCTGGACTTCCAGGCCCAGCAGCCACATCACCTCTCCCAGGTGTATCCCATAGCTTGACAGCTCCAGGTATAGCACACTGCTGTCATCCACTGTGCTCTGGTCCCCAGCACCCAACCCAACCAACACACATTCTGGTGTGTCACACAGTCACCCTTGTCATGTCACAGTCACCCTTGTCTCTTCTCAGTCCCCAGCATGGCATGGGCAGCCTTCACCATTGGATTGGAAACCTCCTCTTATCACCACCAGGTCCCACTCTGCCACCATGGAAGGGATCAAGGCACTGGTTGTCCAGAGATGCTGTGGAACAGAGGTGATGCGCATCCCATAGCTGTGGCTCCAGTCTTGGCAAACAACTTAGTAATTTCCCAGCATCTGGTGCTGGTTTAGTGACTGATGCCTGCTTGAGATGTAGCAGCACAGCAGCCAGAAAATGGGAGACAGCAGCTCTGGCCCCTGAATTCTGCCTGCTTTTAAACTCCAGAAAGTCCATGCACTCTCCAAACAGAAGTTTGTTGCTGCTGTCTGGAGAACCCATAGATCTGTTGTCCCTGTGTGCCAAGCCCTGTGTCCCCTTCCTTAGCTGGGGCTTGCCTAGCCAGGCAGTAAGGAGACCCAATTCTAGGAACCAGGGCAGCTTGAGGGCAGGAGAGGCACATGTGGTCCTCATCACTGCATCCTGCTGCCCATGGCCCTGGAAGGTGACCCCTTTCCTCTCTGTTGTAAGGAGTCATGACCTGCCATCCACGTGGCAGATGGAGATACCAGGAGGAGGCAGGGGGGTCTGCATGCCACCACAAAGTCCTGCCTGCCTGCACTGCAGCTTCCTGCTGGGATGCCTCATGGCTCAGCTCCCTGCCCAGCAGCCTGTAAATCTGACATACAAGCCTTGGGGACCCAAAGAAATCAGCAAATTCTGTGCTTTGGGGAATAAAGATGCCTGGTGACGGGTGCTGCCCTCCCTGTTGCCAAAGGAGAAGATGCACTGGTGCTGGACATGGGCAAACAGGGCTTTCCAGCACAGTGAGGAGATGCAAGGGGAGGGCTGGGGTGAGCAGCAATCTGGAATAAAGGAGAGGGATCCAGATGCCAAAATCAACTTTGTCTTCAAGCTGTGGAGAAGAAAAACAGGAAGGGACCATGAGACCAGTCCCAGTGCCGGCACCTCCCTGTCCCACTGTGGGGCCAGGGCACTTCCTCCGGGCTTGGGCTCTCTGGTGGCTCACACAGCTGCTGAGTGAGCAGGAGGCTTCCTGCTGCAGGCTGGAGCCCTGCCTGGACGCACCCTGCCCCAAGTAGGCAGAGGCACATCCAAACTTGCCTTTGCTGCCATATCCCACCCACCCCAGGGTGGATGCTGTGCCAAGATCGCCAGAGGAGCTGGTACAAGCCAGGCCTGGAGATGCTGAGAATGTGCCAGGTCAAAGCAGCCCATGGACTGCATCCACATAAGGCGGGGATGGGTCCAGCTTCCTGGCATGGAACAGGGACCAGCCCAGCAGGGAAAAAGTGCAGGAGAACATGGCCTGGGTTATACTTGGTTTGAAAAATTTCCATTGGCCAATGCTACACAACAAGGGAAGGTCCCCAGCACTGAGACACAGAGACATCCATATCCACTGTCTCCATCCAACACAGGGTGGGTGACCAGATCACATCTCAGGCAGGGGCTTGTTTGGGAAATCCATAGCTTTGGCAAAAGCCTCTGCAGGAGGGCACTGGTTGTGGGCGGTTGTGCAGCACTGCCTGGGCTGTTTGACTGCCACCAACCCTGCCAAATTTCTGAGCTAGCCCTCAGGATTAGCCTCCTCCTCTCCCTCCCTCACTGCCAGGATCTGCCCACATTTTGCAGGGGAGGAGGCGAGTTGCACAGGATTGTGAAGCAAAACAGTCTCAACTTACCTCTCATGGCTGCTCCTGCTTCCTTCTGTGCCAAATCCTGAGCCAAGGAAAGAAGTAAAAGCAGCTTCAGCAGAATAGCCACGAAACATACATCAATCTATATGTGTCATGAGATGATGCAGAGAGAAAAGGGTACGTACACAGTCAGTGGTTCGGCAGGGAGGGAAGGAGGATGCATGGATTGAGGGAAGGAGACATGAAGATGTATATATGGATGTGTGGATCAGTTGTCAGACGGAGGAAGGGATAGATGAATTTTAGATGAATGTATGGATAAGTATTTGGACACTCAGTTACCATCCTAAGCATCAAAGATGCTCGCTCTGCAGGGGCTGATTGTGAAGAGGGATGAGAGGCCCATGGGCAGAGAGCAAGGACCATGTTTGGGAACAAGTCTTCGGTGTGACCTATGCACCAAGTCCTCATATAAATGGCATCACAGCTAACATGAGGAGACAGAGCCTGAACTGTCACCAGTTCAGGTCCTGAGAGTACTGGGGAGAATGTGGGCCATCTCCAGAGGGACTGCATCCCCCACAGGAGCCACTTCCATCTCACACTGCCCAGGCACTGAGAGAGTAGCAACAGCAGGGACTATGCCCACAGACACAGTGAATCCAAACTTGAATGCTTTAAAAATGTAATGCTGAGCATTCACCCTGACTATGGCTTTCATCTCACCTCCATGTCAATACCTTTGCCTGGGAACTTGCTAGAGATCCAAGACTCAACCCATTAGAGACGCCTGCAACCCCCCATACTCCCTCTTCTTCATCTGCCTCCCTTTCTAGCTGCCACAGGCCTGAACATTCCTTGCCCTTCTTGCCTGAAACAGAAGAGGAGACATGAACTGCCAGGCCAGATGCGGAGAAGGAAGAGCCCTGAGCCATCCCTTGCTGCTGCATTGTCAGCTTCTCCCTCCAGAAATGGGTTGTTTCTTTTTTTGCTTGTTGGGGCTGGCCCCTTCCCTGCCTCTAGGATGCTTTTGGTGTTTCACAGATGGGAAATGCTAAGCACCTGGCCACAGAGATGCTGGGAGTCAACAGCCAGCAGCACAGCTCTGCCCAAGCACTGCTGCTTGTGATGATCTTGGGAAATGGCTGCTCCCTGCTCCAAGCAGCAGCAGCCCACAATTTTCCTGCTAGCTTTTTCCTTTTTTAGTTTATTTTTATTCCCTTTTAGCACTGGAAACAGTCCTGCTGTCCAAGCAAAAGTTCACAGTGTTTTGTGTCCTGCTGTCCAAGCAGAAGTTCCCAGTGTTTTGTGTTCCTGCCCTGGAGTGTGGTGGCACTAGGGGACACATGCTGTGTGCTCCCCATGCACATATTTCTGAGGACTACACCTCCTCACTACTGCCATGTTACTTGCTCAGAGGAGATGATCTCCTCCCTTCCCCACGGTAGGAACTCCATCTTCTCCTCCAGCTGCAGGGACTAAAACAGAGCAGGACACGCTTTGGGAGCTTCCCTGGGCAGCACCTCTACCTGCTCTCCTCCACCAGCTGCACCTTTTCCTTCCTTTCCTTCACTGCCACATCAGCTGCTTTGTTGTCATGGGCAGAATAAACAAGTATGGACAGCATGGCGCAGACCTCTGCAGAAACTTCTGAACCAGCTGGGGCACTCCAGTGCTCCCCATGTTTCCAGGATTCCATGGAGCAAGCACTGGCCAGACAGTTGTACAGCTATGCCTTTGTCTGCATCCTTAATATGATGGACCCCAGTTAGATGTGCCTCTGGGAGTCTTGTGTGTTCTTTGCAGGGCCACATCACATTCAGGCAACTCCCAGCCTTTGTTCTCCACTGGGAGATCCACCAGATGTGGGAGCAGCTGAGCTCCACATGAATTCCAGGCACTGGCACCAGCACAGTCATCTCTGTGCTGATGGATCTGGAGGTCACTAGGTGCCAAAAGTGTCTGAACTGCCTGAGATCCCCTCCTGGGATCATGGATGATCCTCAGGATGATCTGCAGGTCTTAAAGGCACTGATTCCCAGGAGTAAGCTAACCTGGAAAATCCTGATCACTAGAAATAAGCTGACCTGGAAGGCACTGATGCCAGAGAGGATGCTGACTTGGAAGGTGCTGATTGCCAGTGGAGTGCTGGAGATGCCAGCCTGGAGGGCACTGATCCCCGGGAGGAGACTAACCTGGAAGAGAGATGCCTGGGAGGATGCCAGTCTGGAAGGCGCCAATCCCCAGGGGCTTGCTATTCTGAAAGGCACAATTTATGGTGCTTTTTCCCCTACTGCAGAGCACTTCTCCCAGCTCCCCACTTACACTGGGCAGCGGCTCAGCCAGGGTCCTCTCCAAGGGCTTGGGTTAGGGATCCACACTCAGGCAGGCATCTATGGCTGGCGACAAAGAGCCTGGCGAGCCGCCTGGAGGAAGCTAAACCAGCACCACCTATTCCAGTTTCCCTCCTCCCCGGAATTCCCAGCCGGGAGCCGCTGCCCAGCTCTGGGTAAGGGGGCATGTGGCCCCCTGCTACTGCCAAAATAACCACAACTAGCGTCCTTCTGCAGGCGAGATACACAGACTCTGTTTTCCCACTAGATGGCAAACATCGCCTTCAAAAACAGCCTTCGGAGAAATTGTGTCCATCCCTCTGAGAGGAGGCTGAGCAAACGCTCAGGGAAAAGCCCTGGGGGTGACAGGCCTGAGGCTCCTTCAGCGTGGGGCAGGGGGTGGCAGGGACCCCGGCATGCTCCTCATCTTGCTTTTTCTGTCATTTCTGAAATGGTTTTCCTTTCCCAGCTGCCTGGTTTCTCCCTGGTACTGAAAGACCCACCCCTCGCCCTATGCTGGTGGGACTGAGCACCCTGGGCGTGTGGGAGAGGCCTCTGGCTAACCCTGGGTAGCACCTTGAACTTCCACAGCCAGAGAGTGAAGCCCAGAAGCTTTTCTGGGAATTAATTACTCTGTGGTTTGCGAACTAAATGAGTGTTCATTCCTCTCTGCAAGTGCCCAGGTCCACAGGCAAGCCATTATGCTGTGTGTAAATAAAGGAGGCAGGGATGAAGGCTGTGTGTGGAGATGTGCACACTTGTCTGAGGTCTTCTACCAGATCAGAAGTATTTCCAGGCTTGTTTAAGTTTTAATTCAGACTCAGATTTTTTCATGGTCTCTGTATTATCCTTGTGCAGAAGTTTCCTGAGTATTTGCTGCTGGCCCTGGCATTGATGCAATATTGCTGTGTGGTTAAACATGATGTGTCATAGCTAATGAAGGAGCTAACTGTGGATGGTAAATGTTTAATATGGACAAATCAAGCCAATTAGGGAATGTCAAGAGAAAACTGTGTCATCTCAGCTGTGTCTGTCCTGTGTGGAGGAGAGGTTCTGTGGAAGGGTAAAATCCTGCCACTGCAGGATCAGCAGCTCCTAACACCAGCCAAGTGTAAAGATGCTGGATGCAGATCTTCCTGCAGACCTCCAGTCCACCCTGCATGTACCTTCACCTGTGGGACAAGGACAGTTTTTTCAGAACAAGACTTTTTTTTGGAATGCAGACCTCTGGTTGGCTGGAGGGGATGGCAGCCATCTCCAGTGCCAAGCTGGCAAATGAGAAGTAGTAAATCATCTCACTTAAAACATTCCTTGTAGACCTCCAACAGGACTATTGGCTGTTCACAGCATGCTGCCTGGTTTTGTGGCAAGCCTGTGGCCTGGTTTTGTGGCAAGCCTGTGGCTCAGCAGTGCTTAGACAGGAGCACCATGGATCCCCAGCAATGGCACTCCCTCACCAAGCTTTAATTAAGTAATGGCAGCAGCTGTATTCCCTCCTCAAAGCACTCTGGAGCCCTGCTCCTCACAGCTTCCTCTGCCCTCCCTGCCTCAGTTTCCTCCTGGGCACATTGTTTGGTAACATTTACACTTGGCTTGGAAGGATCCTGCAGGTGTCCTGGCCACTTCCTTCAGGAAGAGATCATTGCCTCTTCTTCCACGAGGGTTGGCAACTCCTCACAAGGCTATTTATAGTCACAGAGAAAGCTCTTGAAAATGAAAGGAATCATGTGTCTGGGGAATAGAAACTGAGGGAGCTGTTGGTAGCCAATCTGCAGTGTGTGGCTCAGGGCAGCAAGCCAGGGAAGGATCGTGATGAGCCAAGCAGGTAGAAAGCCCTTCTGGCCCTTTCCAGCTGGGCTTCCTGCCAACCCTTGTGTTGGTGTGTGCTGATGGCTGGGGACAACAGGGACAGCAGTGACAACATGGATGGTGTGGGCTCTGGGGCAGCACCCCTGTGGCTTGAGGCTTCCCCATCCCTTGGTGAAACTCACAGCCTCTACAGGCAGCAGAGCAGAAGTTAAGCACAGATGTGGCTGCTTCACTCCTGAAGCTGAGATTTGCCAGTCCAGGAGGGTTTGACCTCTTGGTCTGAAGACACCAAGGAATGGACAAGTCCCCATATCTGGGGTTGTCATTTCTTTGCCTTGATGTGTGCCTGATTCCAGCTTTCCAGTCCAGGTCTGGGAGCGTTTCTGTCCCTTCTCTGTAGGCTCAGGGTTCTGGGGGTGTCTCCCACCAAACAAATGCTTCCTCCTCTGTATGGCATCTCTAACTGGCGGCAGGCTGCCATGGGCAGCAGCCACCCTCTCACCCCCCAGTCTTACTTTAGGCCTTGTCTCAGATCCCCGGAGGCTGGGCCCTGTCAGGAGTGCTCTCAAGATAACCAGCAAGCCAGGGGCTGAAGCAAACTGGGAGCCATGTTCTGTCCCATCTGCAGCAGGGTGACACCATCCACATCCCTCAGCTCGTGCTGCCTGGTGAGAAAATCCTCTAAGCATGAAGCTGGTAATGCTTCAGAAAATCTGGTAGAGCTGTGCCAAGTTACTTTAGGTAAGGACCTGCACCTCTCTCCCATGGCATGATATTTTGGCATGATGTGGGGCACTGGTGGCAGACTCAAAGAGGCTGCAGGGGACTCTGGGGCTGGACATCCCTTTTGTGCTTGTTCAGATGCCCCAGCAGGTGATGGATGAGAGGCATGAGCAGGCAAGGTAGCCGAAGGAGCTGGAGAAATGCTTTTGCTGTGTGC